GATTAGCCTAGTGAGCCATGGCGCCAGCCTCATACAGCTTCCATATCCTGGTTCATTCCCCAAAGGCTCCCATCGGTTGGGTTAGGCCAGAACCAAAGCTGGAACCCAGGAACTCTATCCAAATCTCTCACACAGGTGACAGGAATCCAACCACTTGGGCCATCAGTATTGTCATCCAGGGTCTGTATCAGCAGGAAGCTGAAGTGAGGAGCTACAGCCAAGCATCAAACCTAGGCACTTTTTTGTGGGATGTAGGCATCTTAACAGATAGGCTAAATGCCCAACACCACAAGGAGTTTTCGTGATATGCATTTTCCATAAAGTTTTTAAGCATTTCCCCCCCTTCCCAATATGCATGGATTTCAAAATTGTTTTGCACCAAACTAAACTTATCTTTTAAATCTATTTCCATGAACTTTTATTTTGTTTTTAAAGATTTATTTATTTGAGAGGTTGAGTTACAGAGAGGGAGAGAGGTCTTCCTTCTGCTGGCTTACTCCCCAAATGGCTGCAATTAGCGGAGCTGGGCCCATCCGAAGCCAGTAGCTATAAGCTTCTTTCCAGTATCCCACATGGACACAGGGGCCCAAGGACTTGGGCCATCCTCTACTGCTTTCCCAGGCCATTAGCAGAGAGCTGGATCAGAGAGGAGCAGCTGGGACACAAACCAGCACCCATTTTGGATAGCGGTGCCGCAGGCAGAGGCTGGCCCCTTCATGAACTGCCAAAAAATGTACTATGTTGCTTTGCAGGGGAAGGGATTACATGAAATGTAAATGATATTCTCTTTCCATAGTATTTTTTCTCTTTTTTTTTTTTTTTTTTTTTTTTTTGACAGGCAGAGTCAGACAGTGAGAGAAAGAGACAGAGAGAAAGGTCTTCCTTTTCCATTGGTTCACCCCAAATGGTCGCTACGGCCGGCGCACTGTGCTGATCCGAAGCCAGGAGCCAGGTGCTTCCTCCTGGTCTCCCATGTGGGTGCAGGGCCCAAAAACTTGGGCTATCCTCCACTGCCCTCCCAGGCCACAGCAGAGAGCTGTACTGGAAGAGGAGCAACCGGGACAGAATCCAGCGCCCCGACCGGGCCGCATGCGCCGCAGGCAGAGGATTAGCCTAGTGAGCCACAGCACTGGCCTAAAAACTCTTTCTGAAAAACAGTACCCCAAATCTAATCCATGGCTAGTGCAAGTGACAGAATTGGGAGATATAACAATCATGATTCTTCGAAAGGATGTTAGAATACAATACAGAATTCCATTAATATCTCTGATTTTAGTAGGTAAATAAATCCACCATTTGCATTACAATGAGTTAGAAAAAACAGATCGTAAAACTACTTCATTTCAGGATTGGGGAACCTTTTTTTTCTGCTGAGGGGTATTTGGATATTTAGAACATCATTCATGTTCCATACAAAATTATCAACTTAAAAATTAGTCTGCTATAGAATTACTGAATTTCGAATTGTCTACAATTGCCTTGGCAGTGCCAGACCAAATGATTTCCCACTGGCTGGACATTCCCCACCCCTGCTAACTTATACAAACAATGCAAAATTCCCCAAATATAGTGAGATTATGCATGTAAATAAGTGTTTCCATTTTCCCTGTAACTACAATTTTGGAATAATAGAAAAGAATGAACATAGTGGATTTTTTTAAAAGATTTATTTATTATTTTTGAAAGGCTGAGTTACAGAGAGAGAGGAAAGACAGAGGTCTTCTGTTATTGATTCACTACTCAAACGGTAGCAACAGCCAGAGTTGGGCTGCCTGGTGCTTCACTGGGGTCTCCCATGTGAGTACAGGGGCCCAAGCACTTGGGCCATTCTTTGCTACGTTCCCAGGCATGTTAGCAGGGAGTTGAATCAGAAGTGGAGCAAACCGGTGCCCATGTGGGATGCTAGCATTGAAAGTGGCAGCATAACAATACCATAGAATTATTTTCTAATTTATGAACCTGACCTCATTTATATCTTGCCATGGACAATTCTATCTACCATGGAAATATGTTTCTCTTCCACATTTTCAGTGGTTCCTTTGCCTATAGGATATAGACGAAATTCTTTATAAACTGCCAATCCAGAATCATCCTTATTCGTATCTTAATTAAGCCCTATAATACTGAGCTTTCAGGTTATTCTCAAACAAGCCAGATTTTCTTAAATGCCTTTGTGCCTATGCATTTCTGAGTTTTTTTCCCCTCTCCTAAACATTGTCCATTCCAATTCTACTCACATGCTACTTTCATAGAAGGCCTGCCTACTTCCCCTCACAGGGTTAGGTGATTGTCTTATACTCCCATTATTGAACAATTTAAACAGTTACAGTGTTGTAGTGTTGTTTTCTATTTCTGTTTTTCAGAATACTAAATTTTCTGTTGGCAAAGGCCATGACTTTTCATCTTTACATTTCTGCTGCTAAGCTGAATACCTGGCATGTTCAATAAGTACTTCTTGAATAAAAGCCCAATATTTACATAAGTACCACTTTATGCCACAGTTATTTTATGTTATATTTTCTTTAAAAATTTACAAATATGGGGCTGGTGCTGTGGCATAGCAGGTAAAGCCAAGGCCTGCAGTCCTGGCATCCCATATGGAACAGTTCTGGCTGCTCCACTTCCAGTCCAGCTCCCTGATAACGTGCTGAGAAAGCAGTGGAAAATGGCAGAAGTGCTTGGATCCCTGAACCCATGTAAGACACCCAGATGAAGCTCCCAGCTCCTGTCTTTGGCCTGGCCCAGCCCTAGCTGTTGCAGCCATTTGGGAAGTAAACCAGCAGATGGAAGATCTTTCTCTCTCTCTCTGCCTCTCCCTCTCTGTAACTCTACCTTTCAAATAAATAAATAATTTTTTAAAGATTTATTTATTTACTCGAGAGGCAGAGCTACAGAAAGAGAGGGAGAGACAGAGAGAGAGAGGGCTTCCATCTGCTGGTTCACTCCCCAAATGGCCACAATGGCTGGAGCTGGGCTGATCCAAAGCCAGGAGCCAGGAACTTCTTCCAGGTCTCCCACGCAGGTGCAGGGGCCCAAGGACTTGGGTCATCTTCTCCTGCTTTCCCAGGCCATCAGCAGGGAGCTGGATGGGAAGTGGAGCAGGCAGAACTTGAACCAGTGCTCATATGGGATGCCAGTGCCTCACGCAGACGCTTAACCTACTAAGCCACAGCGCCAGACCCAGTAAGCACATATTTTAAAAAAATTTGCAAATACATTTTAAAAGTGTAGTGTTAGTGATTTCATTGTTTATTGCTATTTGAATGCAGCATGGTTTACCTTGTTAATTTGGATTTTTGTGTGCTTTCACAGAATACTTGCAATTGTGATTTTATAATGAAACTGCACAAGAATGTTAAAAACCGAAGATTAATGAAATCTGGGACTCTTACATATAAGAAAACATATTTTTTCTTTTTTAAAAACTGCCACTTTTTTTTTATTTTTGCTGTGAAGCATACATAAGTTACCAATTGAAAAGCACTTTTAAGTGTACAATTCACTGGCATTAAGTGCATTCACAATCTTAGGTAACTACTACGCATTTCGAAGGAAAAGGCATTTTGTAAAGTCTAAAGTTTTCATTAGCATATCTAACTGGCTGCTGGTTAGGAACTACTATAGAATAGAGTCACCACATACAAACCATAGCATGAAGTCTACAAATGTCAGAGAATTTACCGAAAAATACAAGCCAGTGCTTAAAATCCTTTGAAAACAGCAGTGCAACATACGGACCCATACGTCATGGCGGGGGGGGGGACCCTCCAAACTATAATACAAAAGAGCACACTAAGACGTCCATTAAAGTTCTCCTACCTTGGGCAAAGCAGCTTGTGACGCTGGTGAGCGGCAAGGTAGGGTAGCTGGGGTGCGCTCTCCCCAGACACTAAAATGGAGGTGCCTAACCCGGCCTGTAAAATGTTGCCGCGTGCAGCCAGGCGAACAGACGCGTGGGCAGCTCGCCTGGGGTAGGGGGCACCCAATGCTTTCAGGGTCCCTTGGGTTGTACGAACTATCATACTACTTGGACGAGGCAATGGGGACTCGGGTAAACGCCACGCCGACAAAGGCGGGGGCCGCAGGCACCGGAGGCGCCAGCGCAGCGCTCCCAGCCGGGCTGCAGGGGGCTCGGCTCCGGGCGCCGCCCGTCCCGCACTGCTCAGCCCGGCACCTGCGACCCGGCGGGAAGGGGCGGGGCCGGGAGGAAGCCGCCGCCCCCCGCCTCTCCTCCCTGCGCGCACCCTTGTTTACCTCAGCAGTTGACACCCGAGACAAAGAGGGCAAGGAGGGAGGGGTTTCTTCGGGAAAAGCATTGCTCTGCGACCTTGTTCTAACACCCCATGAGGGCTGGGAGTAGCCGTGCTCCCCGCGCCCACCACGCGATGTCCGGGGCCCCCGGCCTCGTGCTCCCCGGGTTCCACCCTGGCCTCCGCGACATCGCGGGGAGCTGGGCTATGAGTCCGCAACGGAAACGCCTCAGTCTCTGCACAGTGTACGAGGCTCAGAGCGGAGCGATTACAGCTCCCGTGACACAACGCAGCGGGGTCGGCCTGGGGCGGAGGAGGAACAGGACTTGAACAGCCGTCGGCGGGGCAGGGCGCGCTGCTCCAGCAAACTGAGCCGCCGCCGCCAGCCCCCTGACACCCCCCTGTCTCCTGACTTCGTATTTTTAAATCTGGCGGTGCTTTCCCTTTCGGGCCAACCACTCCCCCAGTTTATGGTCCTAGCCAGTCAGCATTAGGCCCGCCATTTTTCAAACCCTTTCCCCGCCGCCAATCAGGACCGAGCAGTACATTCCTCTTCTGACCGGTTCTAACGGGTCTGGGAGTTAACGACCTGAGCGACCCACCGAACCTGCTAGGCTGTGGCTTGGGGGACGGGCCTGGCGAGACATCGGCCAATAGGGAGCCTCCCTGGTGAGGGGGCGGGGGCTCTCCGAGTTTGAATGATCGTCAGAGCCAATCAGAGAGGTGGGGGTGTGGCTCGTGGCCGGGCTCGTCAAGTTGCCGTGGCGCGGAGAACTCTGCAAAACAAGAGGCTGGGGATTGCGTTAGCGATAAACCAGTTCACGCCGGAGCTGAGGGAAGGAAGCGACGCCGTCGGATCCGGCCGCTCCGCGGGAGTCTGAGGAACAACTCGCACCAGGCAAGAATTCCCTACGACATCCTAGCGTACGTGGGCCTTTCTCCCGCCTCAAGCCTTTTACTCGGCCTGAGCGCCGTGGCTCTCCGGGTTGGACCGGCGAGGAGCGAAAATAGGGTTGCGGCTGTGTGAGGGCTGGAGAGGGCAGCGCGGGCGGGGCAGGCATATTGCCCGGCGCGGCGCCAGGAGTTTTTTCCTATTGATCGCGAGGCGACTGGTGACTGAGACTTGCGGTTTGGAAGCCGGGTGACAGGGATTTTAAGGGCGCCCCCGGCTTTCAGGATGGCGCTGAAGGGCGAGCGGCGGCAGCGGCCGGGGCCGGCGGGAGGGTGCGTGCGCGGAGGCGGGGGCGCCGGGCGCAGGCGGCGCCCTTGGGAGGGGGCGGGCAGGGCGGGAGCGGATTTGGGCGGGAAGCTGAGCCCCGCCAGAGCCCGCCCGCCCTGGCAGCCGCGGGCTCCGCGCCGACCCACGGGCTCCCTCCCCACCAGGTGGCCGCCGTTCCGTCGTCATGGGTAAAGGAGACCCCAACAAGCCGAGGGGCAAAATGTCCTCCTATGCCTTCTTCGTGCAGACGTGCCGGGAAGAGCACAAGAAGAAACACCCTGACTCTTCGGTCAATTTCGCGGAATTCTCTAAGAAATGCTCGGAGAGATGGAAGGTGAGACAGGAATTGACACGGGGATAAGGTTTTCCAGGTGTGCTTTTTGGCGAGCGCCTTAAGCACCTTGGTAACTTATTAAATTTCAGCAACTTTCCTATCCTGATGAGTCACCTAAATATTTTGGAATTTTAGGCAGGCTGCTTTAGGTTTCAACTCATTTATGATTACCGAAACCAAAATGCTGTTTACAAGGAAAACGTGGTCCTTAAAGATTCTTGAATGCTTATAGCTTACCGGGTTTTTTTTTTCTACTGCTTGTTGTATGCCCGTAGACCATGTCTGCAAAGGAAAAGTCCAAGTTTGAAGATATGGCAAAAAGTGATAAAGCTCGTTATGACAGGGAGATGAAAAATTACGTTCCTCCCAAGGGTGATAAGAAGGGAAAGAAAAAGGATCCCAATGCTCCTAAAAGACCACCGTAAGTTTATTTAACAACCAAATTGCCCTCTAGATTTTTCCTTCAGTTTATTAACTCTGTTGCTTCCTTTCAGATCTGCCTTCTTTCTGTTTTGCTCTGAACATCGCCCAAAGATCAAAAGTGAACACCCTGGCCTGTCCATTGGGGACACTGCAAAAAAATTGGGTGAGATGTGGTCTGAACAGTCAGCCAAAGATAAACAACCATATGAACAGAAAGCAGCTAAGCTAAAGGAGAAATATGAAAAGGTACATTGTATTCTTAACATTTTTAAAGCCAACATTAAAATTAGGTTTTTCTAATGACCAATGTTAGAAATAGGTGTGAACTGTAAAATTTTGGGGAAATGTAGGTGATCTTATAGTAATGTCAGCTGGATATTGAAAAGGCCTAATGAAAATTGTATACTGGAACAACACAAACTAATTGGTACCTTCTCTTGATTGAAATCAGTGTGTATAGCACTAGTAAATTCTTGCAGGTACACTTTATAAGTTTAAAAAAAGGGAGGGCCAAATAAAATGCATTGTTTTATATAGTTGTACCTAAAATTTGAAGTTGGGAAAGGAGGACTGTGATGTAAAGGGGTGTTAGTGAAAATACTGACATTGATTTAACATAGCCCCATCATTTTACATCAGTAGCAGCTTTCCAGAGTCTAAAAGGAACAAGTGTTCTAAAACAGGTTAGACCCTGAATACCTTTACAGTTATTAGGGTTATTGGTCAATAATCGGAAGTTGTTTACAACTAAGTAAGGCTTTCACAGTTGAGTAATGACACCGGATGCTGATTTTATTTTTTTGACAATATTTCAGGATATTGCTGCATACCGTGCCAAGGGCAAAAGTGAAGCGGGAAAGAAGGGCCCTGGTAGGCCCACAGGCTCAAAGAAGAAGAATGAACCTGAAGATGAGGAGGAAGAAGAGGAAGAGGAAGAAGATGAAGATGATGAGGAAGAGGATGAAGATGAAGAATAAATGGCTATCCTGTAATGATGAGTGTGGAGTGTGCGTGTGTGCTCAGGCAGTTGTTTTGCTAAGAATGTGAATTCAAGTGCAGCTCAATATTAGCTTCAGTATAAAAAAAACTGTACAGATTTTTGTATAGCTGATAAGATTCTTTGTAGAGAAAATACTTTTTTTTAAAAAATGCAGGTTGTAGCTTTTTGAGGGGCTACTACATACAGTTAGATTTTAAAGCTTCTGATGTTGAATGTTCCTAAATATTTAATGGTTTCTTTAATTTCTTGACTTGTGTATGGTAGCACAGCAAAGTTGTAGGAATTAGTATCATTAGTAAATTTGGATTTTTTTTTTAGGATGTTGCATTCTTTGTTTTTTTTAAAAAAAATTTTGTAATAAAATTATGTATGTTATGTCTTTTGTCTTTGTCTTAATATGCAAATTTTTACTTAAAGTTTACACTGGAGGCATGTCAACTCTTTTTGTATCTCTGCCTAATAATTCTTAGAGATGGTTGGTTTAGTAAAATATTTTGAGGGTTAGAACCAAAAGCCCATATTTGCAAATTGAATGAACTAAAGTTAATTTTTGCAGTTTTATAGAATTATTAGGTTTTTCTCTTTATGCTTCTGTTCATTTGTCTATCAGATATTTGGTATTTTTATAAACTTAGACTTTCTTTGGGTTGAAAATTTCTCTTTTTAATGTGAGGAAAAGTGGCTAGATGGTGAATCCATACTTGGAAACACATAACCTTTGAAAAAAATCATTAGTAGCAAGGTTAAATTTTCAATTGATTTAGTTCAAGGTGTAGACTGCCAGAGTAGATTTTGGGAGTTATTTTTAAAATCAATTTGGTCTTAAGTTTTAGAACTCTGGGTTACTAACCTAAGAAAGCATTTGAGAAGCTTGTAATACCCCATGACTAATTTAAATTTTCACTAGAATTTGTGGTTGTTAGAGGAAGGTAGTTACTTTAGGAATGCTTGTTTGAGGAAGTAGTAGTTTCTTCTATTTGAACTATTTTAAGTAATTAAAGATCAATCTGTTGGCTAAGTGTTTACAGAACACATTATTGACAGTTCTGTAGTTAAACTATCAAGTTTTAAAACAATTATTAGCCAACTATAGAAGCCTTCAATATTTAATGCCATGTTTGGAATAAATATTTGGTAAGGGTTATTTCATTTCTTAAAACAGGAAGTGCTAGCCAAAGTTTTGTTAAGTAGAAATGAGGTATTAGCTAATAGACTCAAAAATTTTAAAGATTTATTTGAAAGGCAGAGTTACAGAGGAGAGACAGAGGTCTTCCCATCCACTGATACATTCTCCAAAAGGCTGCAATAGCCAGTGCTGGGTCAGACTGAAGCCAGGAGCTTCATCCAGGTCTCCTGTGTGGGTGCAGGAGTCCAAGCACGTGGCCAGTCTCTGGTGCTTTCCTAGGTGCATTCGTTTGGAGCTAGAAAGTAGAGCATCCAAGACAGGAACTGGCACCATATGGGATGCAGTACTGCAAGCAACAACTTAACCTGCTGCACTACAGTGCTAGCCCCTCAAGTACCGTTTTAAAACATCTTTTGGGGGCTTAGCAATCATGCCAATGGCATATACACTTGAGCATGGGTTTTTCACTGGTCATAAAGTAAGAACTGACTTGCAGTATTTTGTGTTGGGTGATAATATGCTAAAATAATTGGGGTAATTAAGAAACATAAGACTGGTTCCCAGTTCCCCTGGCTCTACCGAATGCCAGCAGTGGGAACTTTACCTCTGATCTTACAGAGCCAATACCTATTTCAGTGTTTTAATGATTAAATGAAAATGTTACGTTGGTACTTAAAGCTTCCACTTCTGAAAATTCAAACAGCATAATGGTCTGTTTCCTTAAGAATTTTATTAAGATTTGTGAGACAGACTTATTAGATTCTTGGTCCTTTGTTTTTGAGGGGTCTATGTCTTTAATTCTGTTCTCCAGAAACAGATTTCAAGTTTCTAAGCTGAGAACAATTCATTGCTTTAATCAAGAGCTGCACCAGAATAACCTCGGGATTTGAGATGGTCCTGGCTCATGCTTGCTATTCTGTAAGTGGTTCAAAATTTAAAATCCTTCTGAACCAATAATCTAGACTGGATCATATGGTGCACGGAAATGAGCATTAGGAATTAGATCCTATCCCAGACTAGTCATTATTTAGAAGTATGTTTACAATTTTTAATTTTTAAAAACAGGTCATAATCTTAAAGTTTTTTATTTACTTGAGAGGTAGAGTTAAACATAGAGGGAGAGACAGAGAGAAAGGCCTTCCATTGGTTCACACCCCAAAAGGCCACCAAGGCTGGAGCCAGGTGCTTCCTCCCCATCTCCCATGTGGGTGCAGGGGCCCAAGCACCTGGGCCATCTACTGAGCTTTACCAGGCCATAGCAGAGAGCTGGATTGCAAGAGAAACAGCTGGGACTAGAACCCATGCCTATATGGGATGCAGGCGCTGCAGGCAGAGGATTAACCTGCACTCCAGCACTGGCCCCAGGTCATATCTTAGTACAAAATATAAAAGGAGGGGTCGGAGTTGTGGCATAGTAGGCTAAGCCTCTGCCTGTGGCCCCAGCATTCCATATGGGCAGCAGTTCATGTCCCGGCTACTCCTCTTCTGATCCAGTTCTGCTTATGGCCTGGGAAAGCAGTAGAAGATGACCCAAATGCTTAGGCCCCCACACCCAAGCTCCTGGCTTCTGGCTTTGGATTGGCTCAGCTCCGGCTGTTGGGGCCATTTGGGGAGTGAACCAGCAGATGGAAGACCTTTCTGTCTCTCGCTCTCTACCTCTCAAATAAGTAAATCTTAAAAAATAAAATAAAAAAGGAAATAAGGATATATAATGAGTAGTTCCTTGATTCCTGGCTACCATGTTCTCCCAGGAGGTAACCCCTATATTGCAATAATTATCCTTCAAGAAAGATGTGAGCATAATCATGTATGTGTGTAGATGTATTCTAAAAGTGGAATCTTACTATCTATAGTTCTTAACCTCATCATTTTAGAGATTTTTTTTTTTTTTTTGACAGGCAGAGTGGACAGTGAGAGAGAGAGACAGAGAGAAAGGTCTTCCTTTGCCATTGGTTCACCCTCCAATGGCCGCCGCGGCCGGCGCGCTGCGGCCGGCGCACCGCGGCCGGCGCACCGCGCTGATCCGATGGCAGGAGCCAGGAGCCAGGTGCTTTTCCTGGTCTCCCATGGGGTGCAGGGCCCAAGCACCTGGGCCATCCTCCACTGCACTCCCTGGCCATAGCAGAGAGCTGGCCTGGAAGAGGGGCAACCGGGACAGAATCCGGCGCCCCAACCGGGACTAGAACCCGGTGTGCCGGCGCCGCTAGGCGGAGGATTAGCCTAGTGAGCCGCGGCGCCGGCCTAGTTATTCTCAATACAAAGTTGACACATTATTTTAAATAACTATCTGCATTCCCATTGAATATGTTGTAATTTAACCAGTTCCCTAAAGATAATTTATATATTTGTTTGCTTTAAGGACAGTATAATTGTGATTGTACACAATTTCATATGTGAGAAAAGGTCCACTAAGTACAGTAGTTAGGCCAAAGGGTACAGGCATTTTAAAATTTAGTAATTTACAGTAACTAAAACATGAATATGTACCAGGAGCAGCTCTTGGCTTTGTTAATTTACTGAAGCCTGCTAAAATTTTTCTTAATGGAAGTTGTACTAGTAGATACACAGCAATGAATGTTGTGAAGTGTCTGTTTTCTCATCTAAGCAACATAATAGTTCTCAAACTTCTGAGTCTTTGTTATTCTGATTTAAACAAGGATACTTAAAAAATTCCTGGAAAAGGAAATTATAATGTTTATTTTAGCACAAGAGATTTTAAAATCTATGCATGTAAGGGGTTTCTGAAAGTTTTTGGAAAATACACAGTATGAAATCCATGAATTTGAAAAAGTTTGTACTGAAACGTATCTTTCAATTCCATTTTTCATGAACTTTTTAATGTACCCTTATAAAAATGGTTTCTCTCATTAGGAGTTTTTGTTTTTATGTTTAAAAGACATGACTTTTCTTTCCTATGATCTTGTATCTCATTGGTCTTTATTAATAGTTGTGGGAACATTATATATTAAGGAAAATGATCCTTTGTCATATTTTTGTTTCATTTGTCTTGATTTTGTTGTACTTTTGTCAGTCAAATTTATCAGGTCTTTAATGGCTTTGAGATGCTTTTTTTTTTTTTTTAAAGATTATTTATTTGAAAGCAGCAGAGAGACAGAAACAGGTCTTCCATAGGCTGGTTCACTCCCCAAGTGCCCACATTAGCCAAGGCTGAACAAGTCTGAAACCAGGAGCATGGAACTTTATTTGGGTCTCACACATGGGTAGCAGCAGCCTATGTGCTTGGGCCACTATTCGCTGCCTTTCCCTTTGAAGCAGGGACCTAAAAACTTGGTCCATTATCTGCTACCTTCCCATGTACATTAGCAGGAAGTTGAAACTGGCACTTTGATGTGGGATACAGATGTCCCAAACTGCTTTAACCTGTGCTATAATACCTACCCCTAGGATGCCTTTCTTGTTCAAAAGTTGTGAATATAACAATTTGTCCTTTGTTTCTTTAAAAAAAAGTTTTTTTTTAATCTTTGATTCTCTGGAATTTTTGTACAAGAATGGTGGTAAGAGCTTGTTTATTTCTTAACCAATGTTAGATACTACTTTTAGTCTTAATCTGTAAAGGGTGCTGACTTAGTCTTAAGGTCTCTTACCTATGAAAACACTCAGTGCGAGTTTGGTCAATAGCTCACACTTTGGAGGAGAGGCAAATTTTTACCTTTTAACAGCATTTACTGTAAATAGTAAATCATAGCTTGTCTTAGAATAGAACAATTATAGCACTTTTTTAGTGATTGATTTATTTGAAAGTCAGAGTTACACAGAGAGAAGGAGAGGCAGAGAAAGAGAGGTCTTATATCTGCTGGTTCAGTCCCCAGTTGGCTGTAATGGCTTGAGCTGCACCAATCCGAAGCCAGGAGGTTTTTCTGGGTCTCCCACGTGGGTGCAGGGGTGCAAGGAATTGGGCCATCTTCTACTGCTTTCCCAGGCCATAGCAGAAAGCGGGAATGGAAGTGGAGTAGCCAGGACTGGAACCAGTACCCATATGGGATGCTGGCACTGCAGGTGGCGGCTTTACCATCTACGCTACAGTGCTGGCCCTATGGCATGTCTGAAATCTGACTTTCTAGTACTATATAAGCTACTAGAACATTTTACAAAGTAGTAAAGATTTCATTTCTTGGGGAATAGCAAAAAGGAAGCAAAAAGAGATGTACCAATGTCTAAGATCTAGCCATTTTAATATATATCCCTCCCTAGAAATAAGCCATTTTGTGATTTGTTCTTGAGATTCCTA